TAATGCTTTGATGTTACTCGACAAGTCAGCAGCGTGTTCGAATTAGATCAACCATCGATTAGATGAGCATTGTTTTAACACATCAATATATGGCAATTCACAAAATAATGCAATTTTGACAATAGTAGTATGATGTCTTTCATAAGTTTAGTCAATTATTATTACCAGAAGCTATTATATCGCGGTGGCATCGTTTTATAATTTATATTAATAAAAGATGCACAAATGCAATAATCAGGAGTATCGACAATATTCATATGCGAAAATTAAAATATAAAAAACAAAAAACCGATTTCAATAAAGAACAATCTTATAAAGGGGTCGACTTATTCTTCACAATTCTCCCCACCATGGAGACATTTCTGAGCGAAGCTGGCACAGAAGAACACATCAAGAGCCCACAATGCAATGAAGAACAAGAGCGCACTTCTATTTTTGTGCGTTTTCCTCACCTTCGCGAATTTTTCTGTGGTGGCTCGGCTGCCGCCGTCAACATAGTTGTAACCTTTCCACCTAACAAGGTCATGTTTCGGCAGCAGGTACGATTAGTGTCTATAGTACAATTTTCTTAGTCGTTAATATTATGATATTCCAGTTATTAGGGCTAGACACATGGCAGGCTGTTGAAAATGTGCGTAGCGAAGGTTGGCTCATGTTATACCGAGGCGTGGTGCCCCCTTTGCTGCAGGCCATGGTGTCGAAAAGCATTATGTTTGGGTTGTATAATTTCTACGATAAGTTATTATCAGAAAAGTATGGAGAACGCAAGGGTTTGAATCTTGTGGCTGCAGGATTAGCGGGTACTTCTGAGGCAGTGTTGGCTCCGTTTGAGGTGTGTTTAATTGGTAGGTAAAGAGATGGCTGTGTATTGATAAATTGTATTGCTGCAATTAGAGAGCACAAACGCTGTTACAAACGCCTAAATACAACCGAGAGATTACGGGTGCTTATGATGCAATGATACACATTAATAAGTACGGACTTAAAGAGCATTATCGAGGACTTACAGCCATTTTGTGTCGCAATGGACCTGGAAATATTTTATTTTTTGGCATGAGAGAACCAGTGCGAAGGATGCTTCCTAGAGGCGAGACAGCAACAGCAATTATGACGAATGATTTCATATGTGGAGCGATGCTTGGAGCGCTAATAAGTACCTTTACTTTTCCGATAAACGGTACGTCATGGCTCAAAATATTTTGTTATTCACTGTTTGGATCTTAATCATTGTCATGGGCTTTTAGTGGCCCGGACACGAATGCAAAGTGTTTATGGACAATCTTTTATAGGACCGTGGGAAGCACTTCAGCTGACGTACAAAGAACGCGGGAACAGCATGAGACGATTATATCGCGGCGTTCAAATGAACTTTTTTCGATCCCTAATGTCATGGGGCATTATTAATTCAACATACGAGAAGCTGAAGTCGATAACATGAATTAGTTGTGGGGAAGGTGACATCATAAATAGAAATAGTTCTTGTAACATATGCACACACGATGTGAACTCATATGCATTCGGGGTAATTTTTCTGCCATACGCCTCCTAAAATGTTTTTTCACAACGATCAACTCCAAATAATTGCGTTATGATCGAGGTCCCGACACAAAGTATGGGCATTTATTTATCCGTGTTGTAAGAAATTCTTTAGATGCTGCTCACACCTCAAAACGGCAAAGTGCCTGATCATAATTTACACAATCAAGAAATTTGTTAATACACAGAGACCAATTAACTTGTCCAGATTTTCGGCAACGGCGACATAGTAGCACGGAGAAGTCAAGTCGCAGTCGAAAAGGCCTCAATGGGTTTGACACATTTATCACATGATTGCATCATCGTGACAACATTGACCGCCGAAGACTGTCGAAATTTTGACCTCAACGTAGACAGCCCACAGCAACTCCTTATTCCGAGATAGTTGCATTTCATCTCGACTTCATCTTCATTATTCATATACATACTTATCCCTAACTCGACTAGCACTTTTCCTTTCTGACCGACAATTCGTTTTTGACTCCTACTGAACGGATGATCCGCCTTTCTAATTCACTTTACCAACATCGATATCCCAACATCGTCGGAAGCTTCTAGAGTCGCAAGATTCGAAAGCATTCATCCCATCTTTATCCTAGAGGACTGCTTTATTTCAGTAGAGTATCGTTAAGGCTGTGCAGTTGAACGACAAAACTGGTGGATTTCTTGGAAAATTTGTCGATGGACACAAACTGCAGTGATTATAATAAGGTTTCACAAAATTATGACTAAAGTTACATTACAACTCTTGTTGTGTGTGATGTACCTTTACAAACACGTGCACATCGCATTCGGGAACATTTGACTCAACATGTCTACTTTAACTAACGCAAAGATGATGGGTCGAACGCTTCACCCAGGAGCGAGACAGATAGCTTCTTTTGAGTAACCAGGTAAATAGTTTACAATTATATTTCAATTCAAGGTTGAATAATACTGAAAGTGCTACCTTAATCAACTCAACCTGTTTGTTACTTGACAATCAAGATAATGCACACACATATGCTACAACATCTAGGCGTACACCAAATGCTAAACATTTACCGTGCACTTTGCATAGAGAAAGTTTTGACTCTCGGAGTATGCACAAAAATAAGCCTATGCGCTTCTAAGAGGAGCGGAATCGAAACCGTACAAGATAATCATCACACAGTGAATTTGCTCTGCTTGATCAAAACACAAATTTATAGGATTGATTCCTTAGAGACTAAAATCTAAAATATACGTTTCCCAATCTCTGAGACTAAAGCTGTCTCTATTTCTTACCCTGCGGCTAGCAGAGGGAATGTACGCAGTTCCGTCATGTTCATGATCCCCATATTCCGGTAGTTATGAATGTTCACCTTACATCAAATATGCCATGTATATTGCATTATTGAATCATAATAAGAGTCAAGCTCACAAGACTACAGTACTTGCCCCATTACGCCCGCTCAGTTTTATGTGTGCCTAAATCTATTTTGTTTTCTTAAGACAGTGCGCAGAGACAACCGCTTTTTGAGCGACCACTGCACTTGAGGTCTTACTTCGCGCTCTCTGATTACTGTGCTGCTCTCATCGGCATACTTGCATCGAGATGCGCTTCCGCCCACAACATCAAATGACTCAATTAAGGCCCCACTAAAGCGCGGTATGTGCGGGAAACGCGCTTAAAAACATTGCCGGTGAGGATGCCAGGACATTTCTTAAATAAATAGGGTCCCAGTAACTCATGAAGTCCCGACAAAAAACCTCCACTCTCATTCGGCGCTTCGCGCGTCCCAAGAAGGGGGCTTTCGCTGGGCTTAGCCCCCCACTGCATGGAATGCCAACTCTGTTTTTAACAAGCTGGACCTGGTTCTACACGTCCAGCTTGTTTACTGCAAGTGCAGGAATTACGCCTACCTTTATCCTGAAACCGTACGGATTCGCTTGTCGTGCTTCTACTGGCCATGCGTTTGTGCTTTTCATTTACAGCTAGAGCAAACCAAGCACGAGGAAAGCGCTCTTTCGAACTATAGGTGGCCGGGTGAAGCTGCGAGTTTACCCAACTCAGCATATTACAGAGTCAAATACTTAGCGGCAATTTTGCCAGCTCCTGGTATTGGGTCATCCCTCATGAAGGGCTTTAAATCAAATCAAAGGCTGCTGCGAGGAGCTAGAATTTTGGGGCAGTGTCTCAAGACAGTCATAGCAAAGTGGCCGTCTATTGGAAGCCTCAACGCATGCATGACTTTCGAAAAACAATGAGCGACGCAGACGTCGAGGTGGTTACTCATCATCTCAGATTTCACAACTTTGCTTAAATCCGTGAAAATGCTGTGACATAACCAACCAAGAGTATTACTTACGCCGAGGTGCTACGGACTGTACTACCTCTTCATTAAAAGAGATGATGGCTGAGAAGACGCCAAGTCGTAAGCGATCACAAAAACAGGGCGATCCCGACGACATGGGACATTAAATTCTCTTTAACCTCCAGATAGTCATCCATCCATTTTCCCAGATATCGGTGAATGCCCTGGTGTATCCGCCGGTCCGCCAAATGTTTTACGTGATAGTGTGCCACCCATTCCTCATCGTGAAATGCCAGCGAAGATTGACCCCCCAACGGTTTGCTTCATGAACACCCCCGGTTGATACGATGCTTTGACTTGCTTCGAGAGGCACAGCGTGTCTCTAAAACTTTGATAATCCAGTTTTTTTAATTGCTCGCTCTGGCTTGAAGCACCCCAAGCAATTCGAAATCGAATTGATGCGTTGCAGTAGCGGGTAGCTTAAGAACAGGGAATGATATAGACGTTGCTCCGTCTGTATCAGAGCGTTTGTGGCTGACTGGATCGATAGAGTGAAGTTGTGGTTTGGCCTCCGTAAGCCTGCATAGAACACAAGATGCGTTCGCGTTCCTTTTGAGATATTAAGAGTAAACTTAATTTAGTTTGGCTACGAGTGTGAATGGTCCGCAACGCAATATAGCCCGCAGATACCGCATGCGTAAGTACGTGACTGCATCCTACAAAATATTTGCCCCGCAATGTATTCGTGCTCAATCCGCCTGCGTCTGTTATTGGTGTATTATTTCGGAACATTCTTGCACTCATCCATAGTGTCGCGCACTTTGTGCATGAAGCTTGAACTCACTGAGATGAAATCACTGATTTCACTACGAGGTGTAACTGGTCCGATAGCAGCAAGACAAAGTGGACCGGCAGCCCCTTTCCCACTAAAATGCGCGCCACTTCATGGGGTTATATGTAACAAACAGGCTTTACCAGCCCATTAATGTAAGATTGAGTAAATGGTGTGACGGTATGTCTTACGTAACTCAACGCTAAACTCAATGCGTGAGAGAATTTGCTTCAGATTTGCATTTCCGCCGCGCAAGACCTCAGGAGGATGCCTTCCACATATATTTGTGGATGGTCTGCGGCTAATTATTTCTTCTCGTGTCTAGCACCTTGAAAAATGGCTGCCAAAACATCGCTATATAGCACGGATCTCGATTAGATACAATGGCTATGAAAGGATCACGGTTTTGGCAAGGGGCGGCTTTTTTGTATTCTCTCCGGTCAGATCTTTTATGACAGCAGCTAAATTAGCTATCTTGATCAATCGTCTAACAAAGATAATCATACAGGTATTGCCCAACGCGTCTTTGGCAGATTCAAATAAGTTTTATACTGATGGACTGCCTGCGCTCAGCCTTAACGGGCAAGCTGGTCATAGGTGCTGCCGTTTGCGGTGAGCATTTGGACGGCTGATACGCTTTACACAAGCGCATATATATGCTAATCCACTTTAAATGCTGGGCCGTTAACAAATAGCGCTCGCCGAGCAGTATAGATTTCACGTCCAAGCTGGTCATTAAAAGTTGTCATAAGCCTTGTACGGGATTATCTTCATAGTTAGGAACCACTACACGACGAGTTTCGTTAGGTCAGTGCCGAATTACATCAAATCCTGGGATTGTCCTTAGCGGTTTAAATGTTCGACCGCGCGCTGGAATAAAGCAGTATCTAAGCTCTCAAAATACTTTTCCCATGGTCTTCAGCTGTACAGCACATGATTTCGTCTAGTCCCATTTGTCGTACGTAATACCTTCTCAATTGGCCGCAGTATATAGTCGGGGCGAGGTAATAGCGCATCCACCACCACATAAAGCCGATTCGGCTTAAAACCTTCCTTAAGTGATACTAGGCGAAGCAGAATGGTAATCTTTTTTCTGTGTGAAACGAGGGAATGACGTTGCTGTGCGTAATGACGCGTGGTCTGTATAGCTCACAAATAGCATCAAGCCAAACAAGTGCACCTTGACTTGACGAAGGCGTACCTCATAGCAAGGATGTCCTAGTCTGGAACAGGTTAGTCTCTCAGAAGCTTTACCCGTTGATACGCAAAGCCATTAAACGATAATACCTGTTGGTGTTTGAGTTAAGTAAAGTACAAATCATAAAAGGGACGAACCGTCACAGACGACATTAAATGGCCGATATGGGTTCGAAGATCTAGAAATTGGTCTTTTTTCGCTCTCATTTACAATCTAGTCTGCCGTACCCTGACTAGCATCAATTATTGGTGAGGGGTTGTGCCATGTCGGCATATTTGCACTGTAGTTTTGAGGATTGCTGATCAGGTCAATATTTCCTTCAACACTTTTAAGGCGAGGGCATAGACCGAGCTACAATGGCCTTTATCTGCGAGCAGTCCCTGCTTCCCTATGATGCAGCCTGAAAAGGAAAAATGTGTCGGTACCAGCAGATATCAGCAAGTCGAATATAGTTGACAGTCTCTTACCACTAAGACCAGGTTTGCTTTGAGTCAGTGTCATAGGAACACGCGATCTAAACAAACCATTTATGTCAAACGGGATAAAGCCTGTAGGCGCACGTACCGAGTACACTTAATGAATGAGAGCAACGTGTTCCGGTACCGTGGTCTCTGCACAAGTGCTTCGGAGGGTACCCTCTACAACGCGATTCACATGTTTTGTCTGGCCATCCGTATGCGAATGATCAGCGGTTGACATTCTAATGAACTTTAAACAATACTTCTCAAAACTTCAAATTCTTATGCAATGGTAATTGACAAGTCATGCAGGCCAAACACTAGCACTTAGGCTATCAACTCACTGATCAATCGGATAATTACTGCAATCATGTGTATCTGCTCCTTACAAATTTGGTATCATTGAATCAGATACGATACTTTACAAATGTGCGAAATCCACATTGCACATTGGTGTCTTTGTAAAATATACGTACACATCCAGTATTGTCATTTTTTAAGATGATAGAGTTTTGATAAGGTCGGGTCCGTGGTACACGTGGACTGCAAGCCGCACGACAAAAATCAGAGCTTTATTATAAGGGACAGTAAAAGCTATATTCAGTAGTAGTATAAATATTATTCACATAAAATATGTGTACTCTTGATAAAGCAGATTAAGCTAGACTTCTTACTTACCAGCGTCATCTTGGTTTCGTAGCTTACGCTGTAGAGCCTGGATCTGTCTCCTCATGGACTTCTTCCACTACCTTAGCATAACTTACACTCTCAAATTTCTTTCGGTATGTGCGCGCAAACCCGATTTTTGTGCATTTGTTTATGGGAATCTTGAGCTCAAAATTCCTATCTATATAGTGCACAGCCACCCCGTGTACTTAATAAATAGTAGTCAATTCCACGACATAGTCGTACAAGTACTGTATTCCTGCGATGTTGGAACATACAATGTTAAAGTAGTTATTCTCGGAATAGCTAGACCAGCTAAATGAGCTTACGGTTATTGTAAGCACAAACGGTATCAAGTTACTGGTGGTAAAATGGCTGCGAACGGTAATAGCATGCCGGGAAACGCTCACCATCTTCGAAAGTGCGCAATATGACTCTCTAACCGGGTGTCAGAATGAGAACAGATAAACTTAACCGGACATTGTTGATATCGCGCATTCAGGCAGAAACGTGGGCCCTCCCCCGAATAAATTAAGCTGGGATGGTCGTAAAACTTGCAATGCTTTAATGAAGCCACAGCGCGTCGCGGTTACGCTTTCCGAGCTAGGGTGCCGCTTGCGATAATATGAATCAGCGTGCAGCACCTCACTAAAATGGCGTTCGGAACGTAGGAAGATATGAAGCAACATATATCGCGGGTATTTGCACTGTCTATCCAAGCATATTAAGTGCTGTTGCACTTCTTTTCCACACGGCGAGATCGAGCAGACTGTCTAGTGATTAAAAGTTCTCATCGGTGCAATGACGTTAGTCCCTTTTCCGGTAGCGGTAACGACTACTATCGTCAGAGAGGGTCTTTGATTAGCTGCGACTCGCCCAGAAATCTTCCAAATTGACCTTACCTCTTTTGGGGAAGTGGTGCGCGTCGCCATCAAAGCACAGTCTGTTTTCTTGGCCACGAGGGCCACTTTAAGTGCTGGGAATGGATTTTTTTACGAGCAAGCCGTTAGTGATGGATCTTGGTTGTGCTGAGAAGGAATGAGGAGATGTCTTTGCGGCTTAGCAGCTCTACGGTTAACGTAGACGTATAAATTGCGGAAACGTGATTTCGACTCGGCTGAAGGGGGGATTTGATGATTCAGACTATCACGAGATACACCAAATCCCAGTTGACGCAGAGCAGCTAGGAAAATGTAATGTTTTTTGTACTTTTCGAAGTCGGGGTCAATAAATCGCAACCTTTGAGGGACCTAATCGCTTTAAGACTCGGAGCCCAGGGTTGCTGATAGTTCATGAAACGTTTCGGAATTTTGAAGCTGTTGAAAGTCCGGAAGAAATTAGGAGCATCGTGTAGTTACAAACAACGCTCGACTTTCGTAAATTGTTAAAAGAACACAGTGGCATTTAAAATGCAACATACTGATACGACATCCGTGCGTCTTGTGACGGGGGTACTGGATAGAGCGTCGAAGGACATATATATTCTCAAGTAAAGCTGGGTTTTGACGGGATTTTGTCTTGACACTCATCTCAATATACGCTCTCATCCTATATATGGCGCGGCTGAGAGTCGGAAAAGCTACGTGCCACGCATTCCTCGTTTGATGAAACATGAGCGAGTAATGATACCATCTTTATCAAAAAAACAGAGGGGCTTTTGGTACTGCAT